GTGTAGGTAGGAAACGCATTATAAAATATGGTTTGAACATCTCATTAATATTGTATGTGGCATTTAAAGCTGTAGTTTTCTCTAATTTAAACCCGGATCAACTAAATTTTAACTTAGTATCAGTTATATTCCTATCAGTCTGATATGGTTTAGCATTTATTGAGAAAAATACAGCAAACGTTTTGGTAATCAATTTAACTTCTTGAATAAATTGAAAATATTACAACAATCGTTAAAATGGTGTCTCTCTCTTCTGATTTATGGAACGGTTTAATTTACCAACCAAGCTCTCTTAACATTCGCAAAGATGAATGAGACCTGGAGAATACCATATGGAATCGCTAAATGCATAGTTTAGCAATATCATATGAAATGAGAACGCTATAAGTGAAAAATATTGAAAATATTTCATATTATATTTATTCTTTGGGTTTCATCGTTAACATTATACACTTACTTAGAATTCTGTATGTAATATACTTAGGCTTATACAAAGACTAATCCAAATAATTCAATATTGTTTTTTTATGTGTGTTCAAAAGTGTATTTCTTAACGTTTTTTTTTTTAGTTTCAAAAAATTTCGCTTCTTGTTTTTTTTTGTTTAAAAAGCGGATTTTATCACTTATAAGGATGCATTTCTTATGCATTTATGTCTGCTTAATACCAAAAAAAAAATAGTTACACCATTATGTAATAAGTATACAAAATGAAATTGCAGTTGTCAATATCAATTATAGGAATTAACCCTATTGCTTTGTTTTTAATTAATTAAATATTCTCGTAATAATTTTCAATTAATTTTCTTTAGAAGATTAACTATTATAAAATTAATTGAAAAGAAATTAAAATTGGGGATGAGTCTTCAAAAGTCTACATTATATTGATAAATTCAATTACTTATGATTGTATTAGAGTTATTGTAGATGTAGATTCAACCAAAAATAAATTTTGGAGGATGATATAGATGCCACACAAGCATGGAATGCTAATTGCAATATCGGTGGCTGGAAGAATAATAGTCATTCATCAATAGACCCATCACCTTATCCAAGAATTGATAATCCATAGTAAATTATGCCTTCATTAATTAAGTGACTAATTTAAAAATAGTATGAGTAAACACATTATATTTATTGGTATATAAATTGGACCAATTACTTATGATAATTTACAAAAAAAAAGAATACAATGAACAACGTTTTATTTATAACACAGTTACTTTTAAACGTAATTATAATAACATTATATTTTTAATAAAATAACTCCAATGAGGAAAATTGTAATTGATAAATTATGGTAGTAATATATATTAATGATATTACATTAAGTTGACAACGTGTGTATATATGTGTACTATATTATAATTAATTTACAATACAGGAAATGACGACCTCATATCGTATTACTTAACGCGCTTTTTCCTTCACAAGTTCACATATAGTATTCACGTAGAACACATTTAAAACTGTCAAAAAGGATAATTCTATTTCAGTGCACTCGTACATCTCTCTCAACTCTGGTAAAATGAATGAAGTGAACAGTGATAGGATCAAATATCATACTTCATAAAAGATTTCCTATAAATTTATGTAAAGATTTATACATATACGTATATGGGAACAGTGTTCATACATACTCTGTTTTCATACATGCATACACGTAGTTGTAGCGTAAATAAAAAACGTTCTACTTTAGTGTACATTTTTTTTTAATTATTGTTTTTTTATGAAATTTAATGTTCGTTTATTGGTATCGTTTATTTTTTAGGGAAACAGTTTGCTTGTCAATCAGTTATTTAAGTTTTTTAAAGTGAGTAAAAAAGACAAAAAAAAAATTCTCCAATAAACCATTTTGCATATTTGTTTTTTTTTATGACAAACTCTCTCTTTCTGGCTTTAGTATAGCCAAAATGATAAAAAACAAGTATGCACGTAATTGGAAAAATGAAAAATGTAAAATTAAAGAAAAATGAAAAATAAAATGGTAAAATGGTTGTCGCAGCTAATAAAAAAAAAGGTTTTTGTCTTTAATTCTTGTAACCATTCTTCATTTTGTAATGGAAACCTTTCATTGTCAATGAATCAATTCTCTTGCATCCGTAATATTCATTATACGCTTATAACATTTTAAATTAAAAGGAATGAATAGGGACAGAAATGTAAACATGGCCCTGGTAAAAGTCTAGTCAAATTGACATCTGATCCTGTTATGGTACAATTTTTAAGTGGCACTGATGAGCGTATTCATTCATGAATCGCCGATTAGCTTCGGGACGTACCTCCATGCACTAAATGGGTTGATTCAAAGAGATTTAAATCTCATCTGCGATTGGACTGCTGACTACTAGCTAGTTTTTCGCCGGAATCTAAGTTCTCGGGCCTTATCTTGGATTCTAAGCTAAACTGCAGGTCCAAATCACGTCCGTCTATTTAAAACTGATAAGCAAAATTCAATATATATGACAATAATGAGGAGTTTTCTGCTCTACTCCCAAAGAAACTCTCGCGATGCTTTTCTAACATATTCTGATATACATTCGGACGAAGCAGATGATGGTGGAAATAGTCGTATGGCTATATTTTACTATCGCTTCTTTTACGAAGAGTTTCGGCACTTCAATCCCGCCTAAGCAAACCTGCTGGGAAAAAGCAACATGCGACGTAAATATATTCATTTCTACATTGATGGATGTAAGCTTAATAACAGGCTTGAGGCGGGTTTCACTTCGAGTTTTTTCACTCTTCCGGACCACAGCAACATCTTTTAGGTGGAAGTGTTTGCAATAAACGAAGTTATGCACTTGTTGGACGAGAACGTGATATGCTGCAGAGAAATGAGCATTCTTACCGAGTTATAAGAGCGTTGCAATTAAGAAACATTCAATTCTAGAATGGTACAAGACTGCAAGTCACTTCTCAACGAGATGTCGGATTTGATCGAAATTGACCTGATTTGGGTTTCAGGATACGGCGGAATTCAAGGAGACTGTAGGGCGGATAAGCTCGGGAGCTTTGGGGATACTTTTGTGGTTTCACCTAAAAAAAGGGCCTTGGAATACCTCTGAGTACGTGCTGAGTACGTACTAGTTTTTGTTTTAGTTTTTTTTTTTTTAAGGTGGGGGATTTTGTTGATCGGGTGGGATCACAACGGCTCTATATGGTGTATGTGTGCCTTACAGTAGCTGCATCAACCTAACTTTTCCTAACCTTCATGATAACACAATTTTCATTCAAAATATCTTAGAGTTGTAAAAAATTAAACACAAAAATTATTTCTTCGTTTCTTATCTTAAACTACTCTAAATACACACACTTACATATTCATATATATATTTTATGTATGGTAACTTTTTTTTTTTCACTGTAAACAAATTTTTGTATACAATTCAATTTTGTTTTTTCTTTTAGTAATTTTTTGTCTCGTTTCTTTTTTCTCTTTCATTAAATTGGTTTGACAAAACGTCAGTATAAATTTAGAATTTACACAAATACTTAGTATAAAGAGACAAGAAGTTTTTCAAATATAGTTTCAGTTAATTAAATTAAAAAATAAAGATTGAAAATAACAATAAAAAAAAAAAATAAAAAAAAAAAGAAAATAAATTTGATATTTTTTGTCCTTGTCATCATCTTAATTGTGGTTTTTTTTGTTTTTACTATTTGAAATAAAATTGAACAGAACAAATTTTTTGTACTCCAAATTTTTGTGTTTTTTTTTTGTTGTTTTTTTTTTTTTTTGCCTGTAAGGATATATAGGAAATATCGAATAACAATAATAAAAAAAAATACCAAGTTATAAATTCTAATTTTTTTTTCCTGTTTCTTGGATTTTCTTTTGTTTTTTTTTTTTTGATAAAATTTTTAACAAACAATTATACAAATATACTCCTATTGTGTGAAAATTACAATAAAATTAATGTGATAATTTTAAAAATTTTCTCTTTAAATTTTTAAATTAAATTCTATTTCAGTTTTGTTGCAAAAAATTTATAATTTTATTTGGGATTAAGGATAAAAAGAGGAATTTGAAATTTTTTTAATATCTAATTCGTCTTTCCTGTGTGTAAGTTTATTCCTATACTTGTTTTGCTTTCAAAATCTAATAGTGTATAAAATAAAATTTTAGACCGGTGACTGCTATTTATGACTGTTCAATACTAAGATGTTAAAATGACTCGTTGTTTTTTAATTAAATATATTTAACTATGTTTAGCAAATAGAAATATTTAAACAAATTGAGAAATTTATTATGTTATTTTAAAAATTTTTCAAAATTTAAAAAGAGAAATTACTTATTCTTGAATACAGCCACTGTATACCAGACTTTATACAAAAAATCAAATTTTCGGATAGTTCATTTCTATAAATTTCATTGTCAAACTACGAATTTCATATTTTGGAAATATGCCGTTTTGAATGAGGAATCCAACTAGTGTTAAATTTTATCCCATATTGAACGAATTTTGTAGTATTTATGTATGTGCATATATTAAGGAAATAGTGTAGTAAATCTTAAAATTGTTTAGTTTATATAAAACTGTTAAAATATTGTTTAAAAAGTTTTAATCCCAATTTTTCGAGTAAAAAATTATTTAATTTATTTTTGACAATATTTTGTCACATACTCAATTTTTAAACAATACAAATTCAAATTCATTAAATTTTTATATTCAATATTATATACATTTAAAATATACACATGTACATATGCAAATGTATATTAATTATATACTGAAACGAATACTAATAGAATTAAAAAAGTTTTATGGTTTCACAATTAGAAACTTAAGAAACTAGAACATTTAATATGTGTAGGAGAATTTAGTTTTGCATATGTTATATTTTTATGTATAACACATTCAAAATATAATAAGTAATTGCCTGTATATATCCCAAAAAGAACTATAACTGTATTTTATTATTTCTAACTTTTAAAACTGTGTTTATCGTAAATTCGTATACATATGAAAATTACGATATTTTATCAAAATAATTCAATTAATTTATTTTATAAAAATAATTTTTTGCTGCGTAAAATAATGAAGAGGATTACAAAATTTAATTAAATTTGAATCTATACTTTAATGTTCTTAATATTATTTATTTCTTCGAATAATGCTAACGTGTACGTAATTTTCATTTATCTTTTAAATAATTAAAATTTTTGTCATATTTCTTCATTCACCATATTATTTTATCATATACACATACATCAATTAATTTTCTTATACAAGTAGGTATATAACATTAATTCTCCTATATATTGTCTATTTACACCTGAATGAATTTTAAATTAAGAAATACCTGTATACAGATGCAAAATCAAAAATTCTTCGAAATTACTTTTGCCTTAAAACAATATTAATGTGCACATGTTATTTATAATTTTTTCCTGTAGAAATTCGGGTAGTAATGCTTAGAGAAGTAACCTACTAGAATGCGAAAAACTCAATTGTCCTATTCACCATACCATTCAAATCAGGTTCAAATGTTATTATAACAAATTTTTAATTAAAATTTTCCTGTATTAAAAAATTTTTTTTCTAAATTTAGGGGCAATTTACAAATTAATACTTTTTAAGTGAAATTTTGATAATTTCATCATTTTTATGGTTAAACTCTAACGAAATGAAAAAAAAAAATTTTAAATTGTAAGCAATCTGGTCCAACCTATAGCCGCATTTATTTCTGTAAAAATTAACCCGGATATTATTCCAAAAATTTGGTAACCCTTTATATTATAATGCAAAGCAGACCCACATGAATTTATTATAACTATAGCGTAATATGTATAGAATTTCACCGTATAACATATTGGTTTATTTAATTCATTTTTATTATAAATAAGTAATTGTTATTTTAGTATATAATATTATTAAATATTCTAAATATCATCGAAAAATCATGAATAAGAAATTATTGCGTGTTGTACCACACAAAGTCAATCTCTAATGAATTTGAAATTTTTTTATTGAATGAAATTTTCGAATTATATAGAAATAGTTTAGAATTATACATAACAAATAAGTATGTATGTATGTAATTATTTTTATTGATTTATTCTGTACAATATTACATATTTATTATATGGGTAGATATCATGTACAATATGTCTTCGTTAATTTTTTATATTTATGGTTTCAGTGGAAAAATGTCTGAAAATATTCTATGAGAAATGAAAAAAAAAACTGAAGAAAAATTGGAAAATTGTTTTGGGAAAATTGTACCTTCCTTCAAATTTTGAAATTCTAAAAGAAATATGTATAAGTCAAAAATTTTTGTTTTTTTTTTTGTTTTGTTTACAAAAGAAATTTCCAAAGTCAGAAGGTCTTTTCCCTCTATATTCTTGTATGTTTATAGGTTCTTTTTTAATAGTTTCATTTCAAAACAAGGATATTATTGTAAAATAATGATATAAACAAACTATTCTGTCATAAATAAACAATATTTGGCGAATGTTTATAGTATAATTCAATATTAATATTCAAATATATTAAAACATAATCTAGTACCATAGATCCTTATAGTTTAGTTTTGATTTATTTATTGAATATTTTCTGTTTAAAAGAAAAATATGGAACTTATTTGATTTAGAAAGCATTTTAAAACGATGGAATGTGACAAAAAGAAAAAATATTTTGCTTTATATTTTTCTCTTGTATCGGAATTACTCTATATTATTATCCTTGCATTAATTTAATTCTTAATTGTATAAAATTATATATAGGCTTTTCATGTTATACAAAAATATTAAAGCAAATTAGATTTTTTATTTTAATTTTGTTATATTAATAATAAAAATATCTCGATAATTTTTTGAAATCAATAAGTATATTTTGTATAGCAAATTTGGGAAATTTAATATAACAAAAAAAAAATGAAATTTTTCCCATATACTTACTATAAAGACGTATGGTAACAATAAAGGACGATTTTCATATATTTTTAAAATAAAATATGATATTTTTTTTTATTGAGCATATTAAGGAGCTGAACAATAGTATTTAAGAATTAAATAAATAATTGATTCAATTAAGTGAAGATACAAGTGATTCAATTAAATTGTTATATGTGGCAAGAAAAAAATTATGTTAAATTTCCTGTGCAAATCCATGGATTAGAGAAAGCCTGTTGAAGGAAAAGTTATCAGATTTTTCCTGCATATAAATAAATGTTTATAACTTTAGAACCATGTGACATAGAGTAACCATTGGGGGCTGGTTTCACAAACAATTAATTTTTCTTTATTTTCGGTTTTACAATGAGTTTGATCTAAGCCATAGTTTTTGAGATGTAGCTCGTCAAAGTCAGAATTTTTGTTTCTTTCTCTGGGAAACAGAGTGTACATATACATAACAGGGTATATAACAGGGTATATATTTATACAATATATAAAATTTATTGTATAAATATTAAAAATGGAGGCTACAATTTTTATGGTGAATATTATTTTATGATGCTTCAAAATATTATTTATTCAACTTTAATCTTGACAACCTTGACGAAATTACTTAATATTTTTAAAATTCAAAGAACAAAATAAATAATTCTGTTAAATTAATAAAAAACAGGAGTTTCACTTAGTGTCCTGTGTCATTGAATTCTTTTACGCCATAAAACAATGTTGAATTTTTTTGTTTTACAAATTTTTGAAATTTTTTCGAGTTTTCTTTATTATTTTCACCTTAATTATTTTCTTATTTTCTAATATCCTACAAAATATTACGTTTCCTTTTTTGAAAACTGTACCATTACACTGTGTTAAATTATTCAATTATATACCTACATTATATTATGTACATACATATATTATGTATTTTATGTATAGTACGAGTATACATTCTATTCTGTTTATTTATTTATTTTTATAGTATTTTTTGTCACGTTTATTGTATGAAACTCACATTTTAAAGAAATTTATGTATAAATTTTGAATAAAAATATTCTTGTATAGAGTAGGTATACCCAATTTGTAAAGAGTAATTTGAAATTGTGACACAATATTGTATTAACAAAAATTTCAGTGGAACAGAAAAAAAACTATATGTTTTAAAGCATATCCTTTAAAGAGTTCACCTTATTTCAGCCTTTAAATTCGAAAAATACATTTTTAATAATTTAAAAACAAATATTACAGAATTTTATGAATGTTTTGTATTAAAAATAACGCAATTTAAAAAATAAGGCCCAACTGAAGTTAAAAATATGAAAAGACCATCAAACAGTTTACAACTGAAAGTAATTTGAGAATTTCTTGCTACAAATCCTTTATGCAAAAGTTCTCTTGCTATTCATATTTATAAATATTTTGAACTCTTATCAAACTAATAGGTAATGTTAAGTGTTTAAATCACCTGTTTTGAATTAACATTATTTAATTTATTATTTTATTTGAAATTATTTTAATGCAGGACTTATAATAGTTATAATAAATTCTTGTGTGACCAACAATACCGTACCTAAAATATAAGGGTATACATTTTCTTTAGTTATGCTTAAAATTATTAAATTTTTGTAAGGCAGATAAGATATACATTTATAGTGTTTGTTGTTCCAAAGACAAAAAAATATTGTGAACATAAACCTTAAGTGTTATAAAATACTAAACAATTAATATTTATGTCAATTTTTTTAAAACAAAAATATTTTTATTGGAGACGAATAAATTATTTAATACAACTTGCATATATTGTAATATTCATTTGATATTTTCTAAATTTGAAATTCTATAATACACTGGCAAAATATAATACCAGAAGTGCTAAAATTTAACAAAAATTTTTCATTAAAATTTATTAAAAATTCATAAAATATTTTAATGGCATTTACATACATAATAAACTACAATATTATTCTATTAAATAGAATTTAAATAACGAATGAAAATTTATATTAATTGATTTAAAAATGAATGAGTTAATTGATATAATATTGGAATTTTATTTTTCTTTGGAAAAAATATTTATTAATTTGAAAAACAATGGGAAGGGGTAGGGTTAATTGTGTCAATTCTGTGATGCCAATATGAATTTTATTATGTTCTATAAGATTCTCTTGATAGCTCATCCAAAGCCCTTAAAATAAGTCTCTTCTTCCGCATCAGTGACGGACAGACACAGAGAATATGCTCCAAGAATCTTCACCTCGGTAATACACTGTAACCTAACTATGTAATTCGATTTTTGTGCAACGACTTTCGTATTTGGAAAAATTACAAGGTACTTTTGCACGTTCGAGCCTCGTCCAAGAGACCTTCTTCTTCTGATTTCCTTATCCATAACATTTCTGATTTCCTTCAAGAGAAAACCAACCCAATTCATCCAACATATTGGAACCTCCACCAACCCTGGCCGAACAGGACAATCCGCCATCTCATTTCCCCGTATCTCGCTTTGTCCAGGAAGCCAGAAAATAGTAGTCTTGCATACATGCACGATACCATGAAAGCTGACTTAACTTGATAGCAACCGAGAGTCACACTCATTCACTGATCTAGTTACAGCCAACTTCGCAGCTCTGATATTTTTGTTAACATAAGTATTTTCATAATAAATTTTCTTGTAGCAAATATATGCAAAATTTGGGGCGGAAAATCTTAGGGGGTTTTTAAAGCCAAATTCACCACACATTTTGACATTACATTTTGACATTTCACCACACATCAACATTATTTCCTTTATTAACATTTATCTTTTATTCTTCACTTACTTTTACTTCTTTTTCATTCCATTTTTTATTTATATTCAGTATTGATCATATATAACCAAATTTTCTATAGTAAGTATACGTAGTATTTGCCTCAAACCAATGTGTAAATAATTTAAGCAAGTAAAATATTAATGTACATACATGATTCAAGTACCTAATACCTTTATTTTATAAGGATTATATTGGAATTTATTATAATATAAAAAATTTTAAGAATTTTCAAAATAAAAATCTAAAAGGAAGAAAAAATCTTTAAAGAAAATTTAATATAAAATTTATAAAAAGTTTTTCATCCTGTGCTTTCAAATTTCAAATTTTTATTAAAAAGAGCATAAACAAAATATTCTCTACTTTAATATATATATATAAATACTGTTATTTAATATAAATTGAATTAAATATGATTTGGGCTAATAATATGGCATTTTTATGGTATATTCTATATATTTTCATTTTAATTGGAAAACAAGAAGGATATAATATGCATGTTATATCGAAAATTACATTAGAAGCCGGGATGTAGCCACGATATGGTCGAAATTTCGATTCGACGTTTAAGAATAAATCATTTTAGTTTTGATTTTTTTTTAATTTTTAATGAGGTTTTTAAACGAATCCTTGGCCGAACAGAAATAAATTGAATAAAATAATGAATAAAATTCTAGCATGTCTGAATTCCAGCCAAATCCAATTCGACTTAAGTTTTCTTTAAAATTTTCACATATTAGTTATTTACACATTGTTGCATTTATTATTTTTAAATTTTAAAAATAATCTTTACAACTGATCGACAATCAGAATCATATGATTCAATAACATTAAAAGTCTTTAAGTATAGGAATAACTGCATATCTTACTATTTCCAAATAAATTTTTCTGGTTATCTGCCAACTATCTATAATATTATTATAAATATATTAAAAAAAAATATTAAAAATAAATTCAATTTTTCAAAATATAATGAAAGATTCAAAAAATTATTTAGCCCATTTGTTCATTGTGGTCTTTTGAAATATTTTTACATAACAAAACTTATACAATTTGCAATAATGTATAGTTTTACATAATATGTAGTGTATAGCATATAAAATTTTTGACATATAAGAATATCACTAACACATGTTCCCATACATATGTAAAATATTTTATATATACATTTTATGCAATTTTGTTTTTGCCCTAGATTAAAATTCTCGTCGTCTACTTTAATCTTTTAAATAAAATTATTTTAAATAACATGATAAGTATAGAGTATCCATACAGAATATTAAAATACTGCAACCAGAAATGTATATAATTATTTACAATTTATACAATTAATGATACCAGACTTGGAAGCAAATTTCCTTGAATATTTCCAAAATTAAAAAGAAATGTAGGTTAAGGGCTGTGATTAAATAACACAAAGTCTTAGCAAGTCATTTATTGCTAAGTTACAATTCTATTTTTCAACTGGACACAGAAATATTGCTTGGTGTTTCGAAAACTTCTCAAAATTATGAAATATTTCGAGCTAGAATTTTTGAATGCAAAAATATACTTCAGACGTTACAATTTGTAAATATTATAAAATGTGCTTTCATTCTTTAAGAAAAATCCCTATTTTTAAGGATTCATTATTATGCATATGCATTATATAGTATATAAATAATTTGTGTAAATGTAATCTGGTATAAGATGATGAGAAAAGTATATAAATGCATAAAACATTTAATAAAACTAACAACAAAATTTATTATGACAAAAGAATTTTTTTTTCACATGTTTTTAGGAAAAATAAAATTTTTTTTATTTCTAATAAAATATCCTTTTTGTATCTCTTTCAAAATTTTGGAATACGAGAAATAAAAGTTTGAAGATTATATTAGATTTTCTTTTTATAATGTGCAATTAATTTTATAACTTCTTATAATTTAAACAAGTTTTTAAGTTAAGAATGTGGAGGAAACAATAAAATTCTTTAATAAATTTATTAATAGTTAAAATAAATAAAAAATTTAACATTTCCATTTAAATTTTATTTGTAATTATAGTAAGGATTATCTTATATCATTGGATTCACTGAATTCATATCACCTGAAAAGTTTCATATCCCAAGGTTCATACTATAGTCTGGCTTTCTTACAATATTGCCATATCATACCATTACTGTACAGGTTATATTTAACTTGGGTTTGTGCCATTCTAGATAAATCTGAAAATTCCTTTATGGGTTTTCGGCCCGCTTCGCTAATATTACGAATTCAGCCGAATATTTGAGTTATATGAGTGACAAAATCAATTTGATAATTTTATATTCTTTTTTTTTGCATTCGCCTTATTGATTTATTCTTATTGTTTATTTGTTATTTTTTCTTACATATACATACATAAAATTTTCAATATTTTTAGTAAGTGCATATATAGAAACTAATATTAATTTTCTTTGTTTTCAAATTTTTATTTTCAGGTACGTACAATAAAATAAAAATTCGATTGCATGAGTCAATATTACCTTAATATGGATGCACTTGCTTATACATTAGCATGGTAAGAAATTTTGTTGTTAATTTTTTTTTTTCATTTTCCCTCAGAAAATTTTCAATAATTGAAAAAATGAAATTGAATATAATATTGATTTTCTTTTTTCGAATATACACGTAAAAAAAAATACGATATAAATATTACGAAAAAGAATATTAAATGAGTGTTCACTATATTTTGTTATTAAGGGCTTCTTCTTCAGTCAATAAAACACGAAAATTCAATTATTAAAAAAAGTAAATTTAAAAAAGTAATTTAAATGTTTTCTAATTAATTTTTGGTATTTCTAATTAGTTCATTGTTTACAATGTCTTTATATAAGAAATATGAAAATTATAAAGATTTTCCACGATCATTACTGCTCCTGAAACAAATTGAGAGCCATTTGCCGGCTCAAATTATAATTATATTCCAGTTCTAATTTTAATTAATTAAAATTCTGAAATTTAGTAAAAGAATTTTTTTTTATATTTTAATTAACGGCGTAACATTTTCAAAAACCCTTGTTCTATATGCTCAAAGGATATAACTTTTACGATAAACTTTAAGATAAAATTCACCATATAAGTATTTGTTTTTTAAAATAATCAAATATAATATTAGATGTAAAAAAAAAAAACGCAAGAAATTAAAATTATAATTTTTTCTTAACACAAAAAGTGCATAATGCTTTTATATAAGATTTTTCAAGGTTAAGATACTTAGTGTTGTATGTACTAAAAATGCTGCAACTAAAATCGATAAAAAATGCGCATTATACAATAAAAAAAATTGACATTTTAAAATTAAAAAAATTTTTAATGCTCTTAAATATTGAAACTCAATTAAGTTAAATATTTTAAATTCTAAGAAGTTTATTAAGTTTTAAAAATATTTCAAAGAATCATTGAAAATGTAAAATATTTTTAAGTTAAATTTCCTTTAGAAAATTTTGGTAGCGTTTCGAAATTCATAGACGTGTTAAAATTAAATTTGGAATAAATAAATAATTTTATTGTTTTAAAATTTTGTAAATTATAAAAATTTTTTAAAATTCTCATTAGAAAGTGTTAAAATTCGATAAGGAACTCGAAAAACAGTTTTAACGCATTGAAATTCAAAAAGAATAGGTTGAATATATTGATTGAATTGATTGAATCTTCTAGAGATATTCGAGGGCAATTAAATCGTAGTCTAAAATAGCGCTTTTTAATAAATTAGTTGTGTTTTGTAAAATTTCAATTTTAAATTCAGTCCGAAATTGATAATTCTGGAAATATTAGAGAATTCAAAGATAAATAGACAATATGGAATTCTGAATGATATTGAATACTCAATTACGATCAATAGTTAACTAAAGTATGATTTTCAATGAGTTTTCAAAATTTACTAGTATTAAATTTTTTTATGTAATCAGCAATTCTTAAGTTATCGGAGTAAACAAATATTTAAAAAATAATAATTTTTTTTAACTAATGTGACGTTTTAAATATTTTTAAATTTTTTTTCTATAAAAGAAATTTACGATAAAATTGAATGATTACACATTGAATTCAAAATCAAATAAATTTCTTTCTTAAATTTTTTTTTTTTAACTCATTTTCAATAATAATTTGAAATAAATAAAGTTTTTTTTTTAAGAAATAATTTTTGTATTTAAAGTTCTCCTAAGTTCATTATATTTGTTTATTTATGCAATAAAAATCTAATTTTCATTTTCTCTGTTTTCTTTTTTTCTTTTCTTTTTGTTCATCTTTTATCGTCATAATATTTCCCTTTTTTTATATTTTTCATTTTTTATTTTATCATTCCTTTGTTCTGTTATTTTTACGATCATCATTATTATAATTTATCCTTCCTTTGAATATGCATACATATCTGTATGTATGTGTGTATGTGTATATATAAATTTATATATTTATTGGATCGCTGTAAATAAAGCTGTGGCGAACCTTAAGTTTCTTGCGGTTCCGAAACAGTACATTTTCTTCTTAAAGGTTTTGGATAAAGCTAAAGGTTCTCAATAATCCATTGCCATGCCAGCCGAAATTCACTTAAAAATTATTTCTCTTAATTCGTTTATTGCAACAATTTGTTTGACTGGTGTAAAAATACTAAGGGAAAATTCACCAAAATATAGAAATCTGTAATATCGAAATTCAAAAAGGCTCTATATAGTTTATGGAGAAAAATTTAAGAAATGAGTTGTTTTAATAACTCAACGAAAGTCGATCTAATTGAAAATTGAAAGTAATTTTAAAAAATGAGAATTTTTCTATTGTCTCTTTCAATCTTTCGAGATAAAGAGAATAGAAGAGAAAATATATAATTAGTATATTGGAAATTTTTAAGAAGCTCTTTTTCGAAATACTTCGAAAAATATATAATATTTTTGAATTCCAACGAGAAATTTTAATAAAAAGCATAAATGGTCTTGTTATGTAAACTCTTCATTTAATTTAATTTATATGTGTGTATTCATACACACATAATTATATGTGTGTATTCAGATGCATTCATACATACTTTTGATATATGTAGATACAATACGGACTGCAAACTTACAATTCAAATTTTATGGTTAATATTTCTAATAGAGAAAAGGGAGTAAGTTCCGCGTTCTAAACGTTAATTCATCGGAATAATTGCTTATATTTTTCGAGATCATTTATCTACTAAGGATTACAAATAATATTGAAAATTTTAAATAGTAAATAAATTGAAATTTAGTTTAAATTTAACTCTTTGAGTATAATTTTAATTTATAAAATGGTTCGCACAAAATTTCCAAAAAAGGTTTATTATAACTGATATGAGATAAGTATGTCTTTCGAAATTTTACTGAGTATTAGAAATTTTTTATACACTGTCTACAAATTCTTAAAGCTTCTTCCATCTCATTATTTTTATATATTTTTTTTATACTTAATTCATATTTACTTTTTTTTTTCAATAATATTCCATTATACTACTTTGATAAAAAGGGAGGGTTGAATTCTAATATATAATGCTCTTTATGCACATAATATATTTATACATATATATGAAATGTGTATATGTAACATTGTGTCATACTATGTGCTGTATAGCGCCAATATAATAAAAATATTGTCTTGATTTTTATTACGAATTTATTTTTCTTCTTTGTACTCTTTTTTTCTTTCAAATTTCTACACAAATTAGAGGAAGGAAAAAGTATAAGTATAAAAGAAGGAAAAAAAAATATAAAATCTATACTTATTCATATTCAAATGTATGAGAATTTTTATATACATATACATATATGTATATGTAGATATTATGATTGAAAGTCAAAAAGAAAAAGTATAACAGTTTTATCGAAAATTCTTCTTATGTAAAGATATCGGGGAACGTCTTTAAAATCAACAAAGAAATTTATTGAAATCTTTATTAAACTTTGTTTCTTCATTCATATACGAGAACATATGTAGCAATGCACGTATGTACGAATATTTTATAATAGTGGCTCATATTTTATGAAATATGTTCTTTATAAAATGCACTGATTAATCGGATAAAAAGTATAAATGTACCATCACATGCTAGTTAGAAACAAAGAACTTTTTATAATTGCATGAAGAAAATCAAAGAACAAACATTGTTTATCGAAAATTCTTTGTTTATTGAAGAACATATCCAATTACACACTTATATGTTATTATTAAAATTTTTCAATAAAATTTTCTTTTAAAAAAGTGTTAAGAACTCATAAAATACGACCGTTTCAGAATTTACTCTTTTCTATAACAGTTTACAAAATAATAAAATATAGCATGTGTGTATATGTATATGCACACGAACATTTGTGCATATGTCAAATGGAGTAGAAATATTTTTGTGTAAGATTTTCTATTATTATGTTTTACGTATTGTAATTCCAATTCAAGATGAAATTAATTAATTATTTAAGAATTCAAAATCTGAACCATTTCTCATATAAGTATACTATCCAAAAATAAATATATTCTAAATTCTAGAACTAATTTTGAAATTCAATGTTAATTTTAAATTTTCTATTTTTAATATTTTTAAATAATAATACAAGTTAATAAAATTTATGAACAGTCGAACCTCCATAACGAGCACGAAAAATTATTTTGCAGCAAAATTAACATGAATGTGAAAGAGTGAGTTCTCGTTAAAGAGTATGAAAAACATTTTATTTTTAAAATTAATTATTACGAGTTTATTTACGAATTAATTACATATTTCTAAAATTTTTTAATTCTACGCACACAAAGTTTTTTCCAAATTAATGTTGGTTTCATTCACTCGTAAAGTTGGCAAATCAAAAATTTTCTTTTAAAAAGGGTCTTTTTAAAATAAAAATTGTTTTGTTTTGAGGAAATTTTGACTTAAAGAGAATTTATATTTGCTAGTTTCGTGTAGTAGATTCAATTGCCAGCAAAATAATATAAAAATTATTCTTGTTAACCGACAAACACAACGGTTTTTAAAGATTTCATGTTATAGAGGGTGAATACAAGAAAATTCTAGTTATGATAAAAAATATAACAAAACTGTTCATATTCATAAGAATAATTTTGTTGTGCGTGACCTTGTTTTATAGGGGGTTGACTGTAAAATAATTATTTTTTAATAAAATTGCGAATTATTTCACCTTTACTTTTTATTATAAATGATAGTGCATGCATTTCAAACCTAACCAAATTCTTTAATTTCTTCGTTAAATTTAATTTTATTAAAATAATCATTTGCTTTCCTTTTTCATTAAAATTAAAATGAAAATATTTTTGTGTACAAGAAATAGAATTTTATTAATTGTAAAAATTTTAACAATTTATTTAAAATTGCAATCTTCTTACATTAAACTTGACCATAATTTTAATTTAAATTACAAAATTATTTGTTTAGTTTTCGAATTTCTTTTAAAAAAAAAAATTTATAAAAATCATCATATTTTTAATATTAAATATTTTAAATATTCTTACATAAGAATTTCCTACGTGTCCAAATATTCTCTTTATTACACATAAGATATTAAA